GTTCCAGTACCTTTTTGGTGTGTTTCTGGTTCGTTTTTGATGAATCCCAGTTCATTTTTTCCCTCTCTCGTTTTCTTCAACTTAAATAGGCACATGTGCGTTACAGTTCCTTTTGGCGCGTTTTTTAAGTGTTACTGTCCTTTTTTAATCAATCACAGTTCATTTTTTTTTCTACTCTTGATTTCTTCAACTTAACCCCTTCCAGCCGGACACTTTCCCCCCTTCCAGTCCGGACACTTTCCCCCCTTCCAGTCCGGGCACTTTCCACCCCTTCCAGTCCGGACACTTTCCCCCCTTCCAGTCCGGACACTTTCCCCCCCCTTCCAGTCCGGACACTTTCCACACTTTGCCCCCCCTTCCAGTCCGGACACTTTCCCCACTTCCAGTCCGGACCACTTTCCCCCCCTTCCAGTCCGGACACTTTCCCCCCCTTCCAGTCCGGACACTTTCCCCCCCTTCCAGTCCGGGCACTTTCCCCCCTTCCAGTCCGGACACTTTCCCCCCTTCCAGTCCGGACACTTTCCACCCCTTCCAGTCCGGACACTTTCCCCCCTTCCAGACACCCTTCCACCCCTTTCCGGGACACTTTCCCCCCTTCCAGTCCGGACACTTTCCCCCCCTTCCAGTCCGGACACTTTCACCCCCTTCCAGTCCGGACACTTTTCCCCCCCCTTCCAGTCCGGACACTTTCCCCCCCTTCCAGTCCGGGCACTTTCCCCCCCTTCCAGTCCGGGCACTTTCCCCCCCCCCTTCCTTTGTCAGTCCGGGGGGCACTTTCCCCCCATTCCAGTCCGGGGGCACTTTCCCACCCCCCCCTTCCAGTCCGGGCACTTTCCCCCCCCCTTCCAGTCCGGGCACTTTCCCCCCCTTCCAGTCCGGGCACTTTCCCCCCCCTTCCAGTCCGGACACTTTCCCCCCCTTCAGTCCGGACACTTTCCCCCCCCTTCCAGTCCGGACACTTTTCCCCCCTTCCAGTCCGGACACTTTCCCCCCCTTCCAGTCCGGACACTTTCCCCCCCCTTCTAGTCCGGACACTTTCACCCCCCCTTCCAGTCTGGACACTTTCCCCCCCTTCCAGTCCGGACACTTTCACCCCCTTCCAGTCTGGACACTTTACCCCCCCCCCCCTCCTGACCAGGCCAATTTTCAGCTTTCAGCGCTATCACACTTTGAATGACAATTGCGCGGTCATGCAACCCTGTACCCAGATGAATTTTTTAGCACAGACAGACAGACTTTGAGACAGATAAAGCTTTATTTTGGTGGTATTTCTTCACCACTGGGATTTTTTTTGCTATGTAAATGAAAATGTCCAAAAATTTGAAAAAAAAGTGTTTTTCTTATAAAATTTTGCAAATAAATATTTCATCATAAATCTTGGCCAAAATTCCATTATCTTTTTTAGTAATAGAAAAATAACCCAAATTAGTTTATAACCAAAAACTATAATAAAAAAAAATGTTTAAATTTTTTTTTTTTTTTACATTATTATTATTTGTTTTTTTACATACTGTCACCCTAACAGTACAGTGTCGCCATGGTGACACTGTACTACTTGTGGAGGGTGATGATTTACTTTTTTACACTGATTGCTTTTACACCCATAAAGGCTGTAAAAGCAATAATTTCTCCTTCTCTCCAGCTGCATTCTTGCAGCCATTGAGAGCTACTGTGTGAGCTGTGATTGGTCACAGCTTGTCACATGGTACAAGACTGTTGTGAATAGCCCTGTACCATGTGATCTCTGTGATCATTCACAGATTTCACACGTAGTAAGCAATGATGTCAGAAGTTATTATGGTGGGAAACCCTCATAATGGGCACAGCAGGTGTACAGACCCGGGAACTCAGGACAGGGATGGTGGGAACCCCTCATAATGGGCACAGCCAATGTACAGACCCGGGAACTCAGCACAGGGATGGTGGGAACCCCTCATAATGGGCACAGCCAATGTACAGACCCGGGAACTCAGCACAGGGATGGTGGGAACCAAGTGGAGAGAGCTTATAGAGTCCCTGAGAAATAGAAGAACATGCCAGGGGGTTTGAAGGATTAGTCCACCTTTACTATGAATCTGCTGCACATTTGTGGTCGGCTGTGTCTCTCTGTTGCAGCATTGCTGATCTCAGAGCTCCGACAGAGCGCATGTTGGGGGTTCGAATCGTCTGGGAGTGTCTTAGCAACATCCTAGCAGCAATACAAGACAGCATGATATCATCTCTGGGAGGTTTTCTGGCCAGGCTTCTGGAGGCACGAGGCCTACACCTATAGCAAGGGTCTGATATAATGTGGGTCTAAAGGCTGGGTGGTGTTTTTTTAATATTAATGTATTCCCGGCATTAAAGTGTTACTAAACCCCCAGCAGTACAATCAGTCTATAGATGCAGGAAAGCGTGCTTGTTATACCCACTGTGGCATCTAAGGGGTTAATCCTCTGCATTGTGTAAATATGCTGTTTGATCCTGTCTTCTCTGATCCTCCTCTTGTTGACATGACCACCTGATACAGACTGAACCCGTGGTAATATGCACATGCTCAGTTTGGTGTGTATTGCTAGAGAGGTTTTTTTGTTTTTTTTTTTTTTGTTTTTTTTTTCTTGAGAAGGTGCATGTGATCAGCACAGGGCCAATCAGCACTGTCCAGACAGAGGTCAGGGGTTCTGCATCCTCCTAGAGCAAAATGAAAACTCCTCCTACAAGCTTTAAAAAGTGCTCAGCTGAAGTCACATGACTGCTCTAACTGCTGATAAGCAAAGGTATTTCGCAGTTTATATTTACTAAAATAATTGTATTTCCATGTTGTGTCTACTGTGGGAGACTGGATATAGTGAATGCGGGGTCCGGGGAGACCAGATATAGTGAATGCAGAGTCCGGGGAGACCAGATATAGTGAATGCAGGGTCCCAGGAGACCGGATATAGTGAATGCGGGGTCCGGGGAGACCAGATATAGTGAATGCAGGGTCCCAGGAGACCGGATATAGTGAATGCGGGGTCCGGGGAGAGCGGATATAGTGAATGCGGGGTCCCAGGAGACCAGATATAGTGAATGCGGAGTCCGGTCCCAAGGAGAGCGCGGATATAGTGAATGCGCGGGGTCCCAGGAGAGCGGATATAGTGAATGCAGGGTCCCAGGAGACCAGATATAGTGAATGCGGGGTCTGGGGAGAGCGGATATAGTGAATGCGGGGTCCCAGGAGACCAGATATAGTGAATGCAGAGTCCGGGGAGAGCGGATATAGTGAATGCGGGGTCCCAGGAGAGCGGATATAGTGAATGCGGGGTCCCAGGAGAGCGGATATAGTGAATGCGGGGTCCGGGGAGAGCGGATATAGTGAATGCAGGGTCGAGGGGAGAGCGGATATAGTGAATGCGGGGTCCAGGAGAGCGGATATAGTGAATGCGGGGTCCGGGAGAGCGGATATAGTGAATGCGGGGTCCTGGGAGATCAGATATAGTGAATGCGGGGTCCGGGGAGAGCGGATATAGTGAATGCAGGGTCCGGGGAGAGCGGATATAGTGAATGCGGGGTCTGGGGGAGAGTGGATATAGTGAATGCGGGGTCCCGGGAGAGAGGATATAGTGAATGCGGGGTCCCGGGAGAGCGGATATAGTGAATGCGGAGTCCGGGGAGAGCGGACATAGTGAATGCGGGGTCCCAGGAGAGCGGATATAGTGAATGCAGGGTACCCGGGGTGACCAGATATAGTGAATGCAGGGTCCGGGGAGACCAGATATAGTGAATGCGGAGTCCGGGGAGAGCGGATATAGTGAATGCGGGGTCCCAGGAGAGCGGGATATAGTGAATGCAGGGTCCCAGGAGACCAGATATAGTGAATGCGGGGTCTGGGGAGAGCGGATATAGTGAATGCGGGGTCCCAGGAGACCAGATATAGTGAATGCAGAGTCCGGGGAGAGCGGATATAGTGAATGCGGGGTCCCAGGAGAGCGGATATAGTGAATGCGGGGTCCCAGGAGAGCGGATATAGTGAATGCGGGGTCCGGGGAGAGCGGATATAGTGAATGCAGGGTCCGGGGAGAGCGGATATAGTGAATGCGGGGTCCCAGGAGAGCGGATATAGTGAATGCGGGGTCCGGGGTCCCGGGAGAGCGGATATAGTGAATGCGGGGTCCTGGGAGATCAGATATAGTGAATGCGGGGTCCGGGGAGAGCGGATATAGTGAATGCAGGGTCCGGGGAGAGCGGATATAGTGAATGCGGGGGTCTGGGGAGAGCGGATATAGTGAATGCGGGGTCCCAGGAGAGTGGATATAGTGAATGCGGGGTCCCGGGAGAGCGGATATAGTGAATGCGGGGTCCCGGGAGAGCGGATATAGTGAATGCGGAGTCCGGGGAGAGCGGACATAGTGAATGCGGGGTCCCAGGAGAGCGGATATAGTGAATGCAGGGTCCGGGGTGACCAGATATAGTGAATGCAGGGTCGGGGGAGACCAGATATAGTGAATGCGGGGTCCGGGGAGATCGGATATAGTGAATGCAGGGTCCGGGGAGAGCGGATATAGTGAATGCAGGGTCCGGGGAGAGCGGATATAGTGAATGCGGGGGTCCGGGGAGAGCGGATATAGTGAATGCAGAGTCCGGGGAGAGCGGATATAGTGAATGCAGGGTCCGGGGAGAGCGGATATAGTGAATGCGGGGTCCGGGGAGAGCGGATATAGTGAATGCAGAGTCCGGGGAGAGTGGATATAGTGCCAGAATAAGAGGTATGGGGCTGCTCTGTGCAAAACAATTGCACATAGCAGGTAAGTATGACATGTTTGAAAAAAGACTTTACAATCACTCTATCTTTAGTCAAAGCTGCACGGTCTGTTTTTGGATACAGGCGCCCCTTACCCCCCATAGGGAGTTTTTTTGCTAAGGTGAACTAACCCTTTCAACCCCGCAGTATCTACCAGAAATATCAGTTCTGAGTGACTCTTTTGATGTGTGAATGTATGCTTTACTAAACTCTTCCATTCTCGGATTTTGTTTTTCAGGAGAGGTGACACCGGAGCCCAACATCTGGTTCCTAGACCGCGCTCTGTACTGGCATTTTCTTACAGACACCTTCACAGCTTACTACCGGCTACTCCTATGTCACCTGGGGCTGCCACAGTGGCAGTATTCCTTCACCAGCTACGGCCTCAGCCCACAGGCCAAGGTGAGTGACCCCAACTCCTCTAGTATCGCTGGCTAATCCCTCTATCAACCAGAATACAGTTGGTTGTGTCATCCATCTGCACTGACACTTGGCTAAGCACTGGTCTGACCTGTTGGTAAAACGTTGCATGTACAATATCTCCCAGAAGGGAGTCCCCCTCACATTTTTGTAAATATTTGATTCTATCTTTTCATGTGACAACACTGAAGAAATGACACTTTGCTACAATGTGACGTAGTCAGTGTACAGCTTGTATAACATGTAACTTTGCTGTCCCCTCAAAATAACTCAACACACCGCCATTAATCTCTAAACCGCTGGCAACAAAAGTGAGTCCACCCCTAAGTGACAATTTCCAAATTGGGCCCAAAGTGTCAATATTTTGTGTGGCCGCCATTATTTCCAGCACTGCCTTAACCCTCTTGGCATGGAGGTCACCAGAGCTTCACAGGTGACCACTGGAGTCCTCTTCCACTCCTCCATGACGACATCACAGAGCTGGTGGATGTTAGAGACCTTGCGCTCCTCCACCTTCCATTTGAGGACGCCCCACAGATGCTCAATAAGGTTTAAGTCTGGAGACATGCTTGGCCAGTCCATCACCTTTACTCTCAGCTTCTTTAGCAAGGCAGTGGTGGTCTTGGAGGTGTGTTTGGGGTCGTTATGTTGGAATACTGCCCTGCGGCCCAGTCTCCGAAGGGAGGGGATCATGCTCTGCTTCAGTATGTCACAGTACATGTTGGCATTCATGGTTCCCTCAATGAACTGTAGCCCCCCAGTGCCGGAAGCACTCATGCAGCCCCAGACCATGACACTCCCACCACCATGCAGCCCCAGACCATGGCACTCCCCACCACCATGCCTGACTGTAGGCAAGACACACTTGTCTTTGTACTCCTCACCTGGTTGCCCCCACACACGCTTGACACCATCTGAACCAAATCAGTTGATGTTGGTGTCATCAGACCACAGGACGTGGTTCCAGTAATCCATGTCCTTAGTCTGCTTGTCTTCAGCAAACTGTTTGCGGGATTTCTTGTGTATCATCTTTAGAAGAGGCTTCCTTCTGGGACGACAGCCATGCAGACCAGTTTGATGCAGTGTGTGGCATATGGTCTGAGCACTGACAGGCTGACCCCCCACCCCTCCAATCTCTGCAGCAATGCTGGCAGCACTCATACGTCTATTTCCCAAAGACAACCTCTGGATATGAAGTTTTTATCAAATGATACAAATTTCATATGGGTACAGTGTTGCATGACTGCGCAATTGTCACTCAAAGTGTGACAGAGCTGACAGTTGAAAATTGGCCCGGGCACGAAGGGGGTATAAGTGCCCGGTAGGCAAGGGGTTAAAATTGAACTTAGAACTTGTTGGATTTCTGTTACTGCAATCATGGAGGCTCAACTTCACAAACTTACCAAGAGCATTCTATATGCTACTGCAGCCTGCCTGGGAATGCTCACTGCTATAGACTGACACTTGTTTGTGAAGGCATTTTGGTATTTACATTCCTCCTCCTAAAAGAGAGTCCACTGCTTGCATCTGGATTGAGGGTGTGACGGGAGTCACTTTGGGTGGGGGGCCCATGGAACCCAGCTCACTTTGGAGAGGTGGGGAGACCCCTGTCTCAGCTCCCCATATCCCTGTTATGTGTAAGTCACCCTGTGCCTGTTAGGGGTACAGGGTGATCTGTCCTAATATTGGGGTGGGGGGTTGTTGATTGTTTAATGCCATGTGGTTGCATCCCATTGTTGTATTGTGTGTCTTGCTTGGGAGCAAACTATTATGGGATGTATGTGTTTATGTGTATTAGCTTAGTGGGGGGTGTTTCCAGCAGCCCTCCCTCCTGATGGGACTGTGTTAGTGTGTCTCTTGTTACTAATGGTAGATTGCCCCGCCCTGTGTCATTATACAGGGAGGGGGGGGTTGTTCCCTTGAATGTATATATCTTGTATCTGTGTTAAAATTTATTTATTTCAGGTACTTATATTGCGCCATCAATTTACGCAGCGCTTTACATATATATTGTACATTCACATCAGTCCCTAACCCTCAAGGGGTGTACAATCTAAGGTCCCTAACCCACATTCATACATACACATACTAGGGACAATTTAGACAGGAGCCAATTAACCTCCCAGCATGTCTTTGGAGTGTGGGAGGAAACCCACGCAGGCACAGGGAGAACATGCAAACTCCAGGCAGGAGTTGCCGTGGCTGGGATTAGAACCAACGACCCTAGTACTGCCAGGCGGAAGTGCTAACCATTTAGCCACTGTGCTGCCCTGTGTTAAAATAAAGTAGTCTACCCTCTGGATTACGTCAAGATTGGTGTCATCTAGTCTTGTATGGTTGGCTTTGGTGTCTGTTGTTGGTGATCGGCGGAAGTACCCAAGTGCAGTCTGCAGTTGGGCCGGTTCCGTTTACACCGCTGAACTCTGACATAAGGGGGCACTCCGCTGAAGTAGTCTATTTCCTGGTTTACCTCAAGACTGGTGTCGTCTAGTCTTGTATGGTCGGCTGTGGTGTCTGTTGTCGGTGTTCAGACGGGGAAGCGGTATTCTAACGGAAATACCCAAGCGCAGTCTGGGTCGGTTCCGTTACAGAGGACTCTTGAGAGGAGTACTGAGGCAGGGTGCTGTGATGTTTTTTGGAAGCTACGTACAGCACCCTGCCAGACCCCTCCCATCAGACATGATCTGCCTGCATTACACAGAGACCCAGTGATGGCATCAAAAAAAAAAAAAGGTATGTAATGAAAATGGAAAGTTTTATTTAAAAATGTCATTAGCATGTTGATGAGGGGAGGGCAAAATAATAGCAGATTAAACTTCATCCAGTGATCATATTAATCTATGTGACAGCAATGGATGAACATGTACAAACCCATCACCTTCAACCCTTCCACGCTGTCTGAGGATCCTGAAGCTTTCATCAACAAGCTGGACCCAAATAAGATCTTCAAGGCTAAAAACAAGACTCCGGTGACAAAGAAAAAACTTCTCGGCTCACTAGCAGGCCAGAAATCAAATCTCACCCCTTCCAAATACCCGGCCTCATCAGGGACGGCAACGCGAAAATGATACCTGAAAACGATGGACTTCTAACCTGACCTTGGCTGTGGTTCGGCTACAGTATTTTTATTTATTTATGTGTGTAAGTGGTATTTCTGTGTTTTAAATTATTATTATTTTTTAATTTAAAGGAATTTGCACCTCTACCAGTGTCCTTATATTATTTACATTAAAGCAGATGTGAACCCAATCACTAAAATCTCATATATGCTTTACTGCGTGCGGTGAGGGGGGGGGGGGGGGGGACTTACACACCAATAAGTCAGCTGTCGGGTGGAAGTGATCCGGTGGCTGTGCATCCACCGGATTGCTTCCACACACCTCCATATGTGTCAGGCCCCCAACGTACACGCCCCCACCCAGTGGTGTATTTAGGTTTTGTGCTGCCCTAGGCAACACAAAAATCATCTGCCTGAATGGACACCGACCAACACCACCACCCCTTCCCCCTCCTGTGGAGAGAGCCTGACATTGACCAACAACCCCCCTGCCCACCACCTGGGAGAGCTTTCCACTACCCCCCCCCCCCGGCAATAGAGAGAAAAAGACACTCATCTTCACAGCTCTGGACATCCCCAGGAACGGGAGTCAGGCCCTACATACACCATCAAGCAGTCCGCAGTCTCCCTCGGATCCTACCTGATTCCTATGGCGCGCATGTCCCTTCTTTCATCCCTTCTTCGCGGGGGGGAGGTGCTGCCCCCCTGAAAAATGTTGCCCTAGGCAAGTGCCTTGTTTGCCTTGTGGTAAATACGCCCCTGCCCCCACAATGCTTTCTGGGCTCCATGCGCTCATCAGTGGACTTGGGACTGGTATGGTGGGTGCTGTCAGGACAAAGAGAGGGAAATCAATGAATGTCCTTTTGCTAATCTCCCCTTCCTGCTAATGACTTGGAAGTGATGTGTAAAATGTCACTGTTGGGTCCTGGTGTCACTTTCCCCAGTCAAGAAGCTAATGGAGTGTGATCTGCGCTCCAGTAGCTTCATTGGAGGGGGGGCCAATCAGTGATCACATGATCGGTACCTCACACAGAGGTCCCGCACAGCAATCGGTGTTCTCAGTGGTGTATTTAGGTTTTGTGCTGCTCTAGGCAACACAAAAATTGGTGCCCCCCCGCAGAAAGAGCCTGACATTTACCAAGAACACCCCTGCCCTTCACCCGAGCCTTTCACTACCACTGCCCCCCATACACCAGCCAACATCCTCCATGATAAGAGAAAGACGCTCACCTTTACAGCTCCAGACATCCCCAGGAACGAGAATCGGGCTGTGCATGCACCATCATGAAACCCCCAGCATCTCTCGGAACCCACCAGGTCCCCATGCTGCGTGTGCCCTTCTTCCAAAGGGCAGTGCTGCCCCCCATGAAAAATGCCGCCCTAGGCAAATGCCTTGTTTGCCTTGTGGTAAATACACCCCTGCGTGTACTCCCAGGGAGCGCGCACAGGCTAAAATGGCGGGCGCCGTTTGTGAACGGCAACCCGCCCCTGCACTGCTCCCGTCCGGCCGTTGATATACATGGGTCAGACGGGAAGTGGTTAATATGGAGTTCACAATCAAGAATCCTGCATGATTGCACTTTCATTTCACATATTGGGATTGCACCCTAAACCAATTTATAGATGCGTGTTGTTTAATACTATAACTCCATTTTGTGTTTTAAATTTTATCCTACCCGGGATGTTTACTAGACTCTTGTTCGGACAGATTTCAGTGAGTTATTCCTAAAAATTACAGGCCTACAATAAAAAAAGACATATTTCCATGCAAAAAAATGTACCGCTTTGAGCACAGAAATACTGACATAATCAGACCGCTAGGGAGGTTAATGCTATAACTCTGGATATTAATTTGTATTCTTTATATCATTTATGTGCGGTCTATATGGTATTTAATTTGATTTTGTGTATATTCATTCACAATTAGCACTGCTGCACAATACGGTTACATTTTATTTTTCAGGTATAATTCAAAAACAGCCCAGCCGTGCGTAGCTCCACCCACACAGCCGCGTCATGCATTCGCAGTTTTCTGCCACCACAGCAGATGGCTTGTAGTACTGAATGAACTGTGAGGGCACTGTTGAGCTCCCTTGTAGTTCATTCACAAGCCCTGCAGCCCTGCAGCTTTGTAATAGCCCGTATGGAGATACAAGCTTTCAGGCTGCAGAAGCCTGACACTGCACCTCTGATCATGAGTGCAATGCTTTCCAGGCTCCTGCAGGAAAAATAATAAATGCGCTTTTTGTTTTCTTCAGAAATTTGTGTAATTTTTTTCTAAAAAAGGTGAACTTATCCTTTAACCTTCTTTTGTTTTACCTTTAAAGAGACCCTGTCACCTTGCCCATATAGGATAAAATGACAGTGTGTCTGCAAAGATATCCCCATACTCACCTTCGCTCCATTCCCTCACCGCCCCTTCCTTGTACTCAGCAGCTGCACTGCTCCTGGTGCTTCCAGGTATAAGGAAGCATATGACCTCTTCCTATTTGACGTTACTCATCCGTAGCAGCAAGGGGACAATGTCACTGCTTTCCTGGATTGAAAACAAGGGTCCTAAAAGTTCTGACTGCCGAAAAGGAAGGCGCGGCCAGGGAACGCAGGGTAACTGAGTAGAAAAGGAGGAAGGGTCCTTTCACACAGGCGTTCCATTTTTTTTCATCAGTTCAGTCAAAGAAAAAAAGGATCAGTTTACATATCGGCATGGATGTCACTCCACTTCCTCAAACTCAATCTTTCCAAAACTTAGCTCTTCATATTCCCCCCAGCCCGTGCCCCTTCCCCCGACTTCTCCATCAAGATCAATAACACAACCATCAGTCCCTCCCCTCATGCCAGGGTACTAGGGGTAATCCTAGACTCCCATCTGTCCTTTCAGCCTCAAATCCAATCGCTGTCCAAATCTTGTAGAATTCACCTCCGCAACATCTCCAAGATACGCCCATTCCTAACCTCAGAAACCACTAAGCAACTTATTCCCTCCCTGGTTATCTCTCACCTTGACTATTCTAACTCCCTCCTCATTGGCCGACCTCATCGCAGGCTATCCCCTCTTCAGTCTATCATGAATGCTGCTGCCAGACTCATCCACCTCACTAACCGTTCTGTATCTGCCACCCCTCTCTGTCCTCCACTCAGTGTCCTCCACCCCTCTCTGCCAATCCCTCCACTCAGTGTCTTCCATCCCTCTCTGCCAATCTCTCCACTGGCCTCCACTCAATGTCCTCAATCCCTCTCTGCCAATCCCTCCACTGGCCTCCACTCAGTGTCCTCCACCCCTCTCTGCCAATCCCTCCACTCAGTGTCTTCCATCCCTCTCTGCCAATCCCTCCACTGGCCTCCACTCAGTGTCCTCCACCCCTCTCTGCCAATCTCTCCACTGGCCTCCACTCAGTGTCCTCCACCCCTCTCTGCCAATCCCTCCACTGACCTCCACTCAGTGTCCTCCACCCCTCTCTGCCAATCCCTCCACTCAGTGTCCTCCACCCCTCTCTGCCAATCCCTCCACAGGCCTCCACTCAGTGTCCTCCACACCTCTCTGCCAATCCCTCCACTGGCTTCCCATTGCCCAAAGGATAAAATTCAAAACATTAACAATAACGTGTAAAGCCATTTATAACTCCGCCCCAAATTTCATCACCAATCTTGTCTCTAAATATCCCCCAAACTGTCCTCTCCGCTCCTCGCAAGACCTCCTACTCTCTAGCTCCCTTGTCTCCTCCTCCCATGGTCATCTCCAGGACTTCTCCAGAGCTTCCCCATCCTCTAGAACTCTCTACCCCAATCTATCCGACTATTGCCTACTCAGCCCACTTTTAGGCGATCTCTGAAAACCGATCTCTTCAGGGAAGCCTATCCTGCCCTCAGTTAATTATGGAATCTTCTACTCTTCCTACCAGTCCATCCCCCACAGTTATTACCTTTTGTACCACCAGCCCCTCCCTCCTAGATTGTAAGCTCCAAGGATCAGGGCCCTCCTAACACTCTTATAATGAACTGTATTGTTGCTGTATTGTCTCCCGTTATATTGTAAAGTGCTGAGCAAACTGTTGGCGCCATAAATCCTGTATAATAATAATAATATATAAATCCTGTATAATAATAAATATATAAATCCTGTATAATAATTATAATATATAAATCCTGTATAATAATAATAACATCCATTTTTCATCTGTTCTGTTTCTTTTTATGAAATAAAAATAGGGTTTTCTTCTGTTCAAAAAAATGAATGCTAAAAGATACAGATGTAAACATGATCATCCGTTTACATCCGCTAGTCCATAGAAATACAAACGGACATACAGAATGCCCCTTGTGAAAGAAGCCAAAGGGTGCTTTTGCAGAGACCCTGTCACAGCAGGCCGGGTGACAGGTTCTCTTTAAAAATATTATTCAGCCAAGCGTCACACATGTAAACAGATCCTGCAGACCGCCTTTTCACTGCGATAAAGCGGCGTGAGCGGTACCACGATGATAACTGCTTGTTCATGACGCACTTAAGATATACGCAGAAGGATATTTGATAAATATTGTCCGGCACCTCCCGGGATCTGTGGATACCAAAGTAAACAGTATTGTGTAGAGTAACTACAGAGTGTGAAAAATATTTGGAGAACGATGGTGACAACAAAGGATCATGGAAAGAGAATGGCAATGTATCCGGATCACCTTTTGTTACAACTCTGTAAACGTCAGATAGAGATTTTCAAGCTGCAATTTCCAGAAAGGAGGCACGGTGTGTGTTCCCTGAGTACACATGCGGAGTGTTGTTATACCTTTTATAGGGAAGTCATTCTTCATGTTATTTTACATTTTTTACAAGTTTGTGGATTTAAATCTGCATGAGGAAGTTTCAAAGCCGAACTCCATGCAAGTAGCTAAATACACACAGTATGTGGAGCCATCTTACCTTTCTGTCCATCCAGTCCTAAGATTACCAGGCCCTGCCACAAAGTACAGCTGATTCTGTCCATACTTCCAATAAATAATAAGTACCTAAGATTTAAA